GGTGTAGGGTTCAGGGCTTTAGGGCTTAGGGTTTCGGGTGGTTTTCCGAAGGCTCCACGTGCTCACACAGTAGGTGCGTTCCACTTAAAAGGTACTCGCTACATCGATACTTTGGAGCCAAAGTCAAAGTACATGTCTGATGGGTACATCTACCCTTAGGCCCTCAATTCTAAAACCTAAACCCACAACCCTGAATACTTTACTAAACCCTCTGGGCTTTGAAGTAACCAGGGAGAAATAAGTATAGACTTTGACTTCATAATGGTTCCTTTAAGGAACAGGTCCCAACAAAAAGTACTCAAGTATGGTACTCCAAAGCCCAGCCCTAATTCCTAACCATGGAGGCCCCAGAGGGTCCGCAGGTTCCACAGTTTGCGCGGGACTTCGCCCTGAGGGCTTAGGATCAGCGGGAGCTAAGGTTTAGGGTTTAGGGTTTAGGGCTTACTGAATTCCAAGACCATGAGAACCAAAGTCAAAAACCCTAAACCATAAACCCTAGAGACTCAAACCTTAAAGCTCGAAATCCTAAACACCTAAACCCTGAAGCACTAAACTAAACCCTAAACCCTAAACCGTCACCTCCTATTTTCCCCGAGCAGAAAAATGCACCATGCGAGCGCCCTGAGTGCCCGTTACGGAAATGAAGCCTGAAAGGATTCAGTTCAAGGCTCATGTACCAAACTCTGAACCCTAAACCCTAAATCCCATAGTATAAAGGTATAAGGCGCCTACTTTTGAAGGCTCAATGCCATGCAAGGATTCATGCATAGATATTCATAGTATACGGCTGTAGGACCCTACTTGTAACTGTCAACCTAATATACCCTCACTACCTCTGATGAAGAGACCATAAGGGCACTATTAAAGGATCCTGGTAACCCTGAACCCCTAGACCCCCAAAACTTCTGAACTCCTTAAACCCTAAACCCTAAGCCCTAAACCCAAACCCCTGCAAACCCCAACCCCTAAACCCTAAACCCGGACACGTAAACCGTATTAGGGTCGTTTGGTGCCCAAGGCCCCTAAGCCCTAAACCCTAAACCCCTAAACCCTAAACCCTAAACCCTAAACCCTAAACCCTAAACCCTAAACCCCTAAACCCTAAACCCCTAAACCCCACGCCTGGTGCGGGTACCTCGGCCGGATCGATCTCTGGAGCTTCGACCTAAGAAGGCCGGCAGTGGTTTACTTGGAGGCCCAGGGACTTAGTATGTCGGCTATACCCAGGGGCTCCAATGTAGTTCCTCTTGGGTCTGTTATGGTTTTTTTGGTAAGGAATTAAAGTAGACCATCCAAAAAGGAACTACGTAGGAGCCCTTGGGTAGTTAGGTGTATTATATGTGGGGTAACTCCATTTAGGGTACTTATAACTCTACCTACTTACTAAGTCCCCTGGGCCTCTAAGTAGGGCTTGGGAGGCATGGTTTGGGGTTCAAGATTGAGGGCTTGGGGCTTAGAGTCTAAAGCTGCGACCTAAGGGGGACCACGGTGGTTTAGGGCTTGCCAGGACCCCCTGGTGCCCTTTCATAGAGCCCTTGTGGCCCTTAACAACCCCGGACTTTAGGTTTGGGGTTTGGTGTTTCTGGCGAAGAATGATCGGATCGGTTCAGTGTTCCTTTGTAAGGAGTGGTTTAGGGTTTGGTGTTCGTTTCGAGTCAAGGATTGGTTTAGGGTCTGGTGTGTCATTCCTGTATTGGGATTGGTTTAGGTATTTAGGTTTGGGGTTTGGCGCTTAAGTCGGGGAAGGATCGAATCGGTTCAGTGTTCCTTGCTAAAAGAGTGGTTTGGGGTTTAGTGTTCCTTTTAAGTCAAGGGTTGGTTTAGGGTTTAGTGTTCCATTCCTGTACAGATTGGTTTAGGCTTCAGTTTAGTCCTGTTTAAAAGGAGTCCTTTAAGAGGGTCCCTTAAAACTCGTTTTGAAAGGTTCATTCAATAGGGGATCTATGAGGGTATGGGGTTTACTGCCTCTGATCATCAAAGGGTTCCAGAAAGACATACTAAAACATCGCTTGAACACGTCCGATTCACAGGATGGATGATCTATGAGGGTTTAGGTTGCAATGTTAGAAGGGTTCCTTAAGTATAGTTAAGTATTTATGGACTATAAAAGTATACATCGTTATTCATTGTCGAAGCACTGCATTGCATTGCAATCCGGGACATCCCAAAGAATGCTGCACAATGGAACCTGGATGAAGGTTGTAACCGCAACCCCGAGACCCTGCAAATTGAACTTCTGCTTAGAATTGCGAAACCCGCACTTAATAGGGGCTATGTGGGTAGTTATCTAAATTAAGGCTTAGGGTCCATTTTATAAGGGTGCCGTACTATATTGGGGCCTAAAAAGGGGCCCTAATTTAGAGAACTACCCATGTGCATAAAGATCTCAATATCAAGGCATGAAGGCCCTTGAACAAGGGGAGTTTACTCATCGGAGTTCGCCCGCCGAATTAATGTGCACAAGTTTTTGGGGTGTATTATGCTGTGTTCAGATTCGGACCTACAGATCACTAGCAGTTGTACTTGCTACCTTCTCTAGATTTTTATCTCAAACCCTCTACACCAAGGCCCTCATGTTCACGTGTACTTGGAGGCCCAGGGGACTTAGTAAGTCGGTTATAAGTGGGGTTATAATTGGGGTAACTCCATTCAGATACTTATAACTCTACTTATAACCTACTTACTAAGTCCCCTGGGCCTCCAAGTAACCTTAATGAATATCCCGGAACCCTAAACCCTAAACCCTAAACCCTAAACCGCCCTATGAAGCCGTCACCTGAGACCGCGTGGAAGCCGAACCACAGAGGGCGACACGATCTGAACGTCCGCCTTCGGCTCCTCACTGTGATTGTGGTCCTTCCAATGCAGCTTCGGGTTTAGGGTTTAGGGTCCTCACTGTGATTGTGGTCCTTCCAATGCAGCTTCGGGTTTAGGGTTTAGGGTTTAGGGTCCTCACTGTGATTGTGGTCCTTCCAATGCAGCTTCGGATTTAGGGTTTAGGGTTTAGCGTTTAGGGTCCTCACTGTGATTGTGGTCCTTCCAATGCAGCTTTGGGTTTAATGTAGGGCCCTTAATGATTAGAATATGCTTTTGGTCTCTAAGGGTTCCCTGAAGGGGTCTACACGGGTTACTGTAAGGGTTTAGGGTATAGGGGCCTTAATGATTAGAATATGGTTTTGGTCTCCTTCATAGTATAACTATAATAAGGAACCCCCAAACTATAGTATTGGGAATTATCCAGACTCCTGCATTAGGGCTTAGGGTGTGTTGTTTAGAGTTTACAGGGCTCTTCCCGTCGAGAGCTGGCGCGTGACATAAACAAAAAAACACTGAGCAGCCTCATTGGGTGCTCCCCTAAGGGTCCATGTACTCATATAGTATATACATTGACCTTAATGTAGTCCCTATAGGTACTTTAGGGCCCATGTATATGCTATATGAGCACATGGACCCCCAGGGCTCTCTGTCGAGGTGTATGAATGTTCTCCAGGGCTTTCTAGAGGGTTGTCTCAGCGTCTCTTCCCTTACAGGTAGTTAGTCAATCAATGCCCGATTCAAGCCTACAGCCCAGAGATACAACCCACCATTACCTTCTTTCGGCCGATGGGCAGGGTAGGTCGGGTCTACCTTAACCCTGAACCCTAAACCCTAAACCCTAAACCCTAAACCCTAAACCCTAAACCCTAAACCCTGAACCTAAACCCTCAAACCCCTAGAGCCCTTAAGCGTAAACCCTAGGGCTTTATCGGGGGCAGCTTTTGCCCTGAATCTGCTGGTCGAGGCTTTAGGGCAAGTTTAGGGTGCCGGGCGAGGATTCAGGGTTTAGGGTTTAGGGTTTAGGGCTTAGGGTTCAGGGTTTAGGGTTTAGGGTTTAGGGTTTAGGGTGATGACCCGCCGCGAACACAGTCTGAATTGTAGCACCATTTGCTTTTCGACAACCTGCTTTGTGGTTACGATCCTGTACTATTCAAAAAGACATAGAACGAAACCCGATTGTAACCAACAACAGGGTGCTACTATCTAGGGGACTATGGAACCACGGAGAACAAGCGGCAATGCACCAGGATCGTTGACTTAGCATGGTTTGAGGCATAAGTTTAAGAATTACTCCTTCATCGAGGGTACTCTGAAACCCTGAAACTCGTATCTTTGCTTTCTGAAGCCGAACGCCTGTAAAGGGACCGCTAACAAGAGTCTCTTGAACTCAAAGCCTCAGGCTGAAATCCAGCACCAAATCTCCCAAAATACCCCTTATTGTAGCCGAAATCCCCACTGCTGAGCACCATTAGAAGGTACTTGCCGAGGGGGGGGAGGGTCTTTGTAAGCCCCGAACTGAAAGCTTAGCAGCTAAACCCTTCCCATTCAAACCCTAAACCCTAAGCCCTAAACCCTAAACCCTTGAAGGAACCCTTAGAGGAACCCAAAGAACAGGGAGTCAGCCTCAGAGATCTCCCAGCCTAAACCCTAAACTCTAAACCAACAACTATAGGTCAATATAGAACCCTTTAAAAGAGCCTTTAAAAGAACCCTAAACCCTAAACTTTTAAGGGAGCCCGTCAAGGAACCATTTAAAGAACGCTTAAAGGAAACCTAAACCCCTACCATGGAACTCTTTGAAGAATCTCGCCTCTGCCTTGGAGATCTCCAAGGAGACGAGCTTAGAAAAGTCGCGATAGTCGATCACATCCTTGCCCAGCTTGTTGACCTGATGCTTAGGTTCCTTTAAGGGTTCTTCAAAGAATAGGGGTTCAGGGTTCCTTTAAGGGTTCTTTAAATGGTTCCTCTCAGGGCTCCGTTCGAGTCTAGGGTTTAGGGTTCAAGTTCCTCTATGGGCTCTTGACCGGGTTCTATAAGGGATCTCTAATCGGGTTCTATCATGAATATCGGGGCCTTAAAATCAAAATAGGACGCCTGGAAAGGGTTTCCGAAAGGGCTTTAATAAGGGATCTAGAAGGTTGTAGGGTTTCAGGTTCTGGCGGGTTTTGGCTCATGTTCCGGATTTCGGGATTCCGCCAACAAGTACACGGAGGGTTAGGAGACGTGCCGCGAAGGCAACGTAGGGGCCTGAATCACCGGAGCGCAGGATGTTGAGACTACCAAAAATCCCTAAGGGTCCATGTGCCCAAATAGTATATACTTGGGCCTTAAAAGTACCTATAGAAAGACCACTTTAAGGCCAAAGTCTGTGCTATATGAGTACATTGACCTCGAGGGAATCAGGACCCCCGACTAACAAACCCTCCCCTTTCCAGGAATTATTGCAGGGATCCAAAGAACAAGACCCTTAAAGAAAGAGGGTTTATTGATCAGAAATGTGCATTAGTTGTTGGATCGCCAAACCCGACACAGCGGACCTTTCAGAGCTGCTCAAAATCCCAAGCTCGAGCAGCCCGAATCACCCTAATCCCTACCTGCAACTACCATGACCTACTTGGCTGTAGGCTCTTATGAAAAAACCGTAACATAGACTTTGACAGGACTCTACAAAGAAACAGGCTTTGGTCGAATAAGGTCAACCCTCATCTCTAGTGTCCTAGAGCTATTGTCTATTGTTTAACAGCAGCGACTCACAAAGGTTTAGGGTTTGGGGTTTAGGGGTTTAGGGCGTAGGGTTTAGGGGTTTAGGGTTTAGCATATCAGAAGATACACTTGGAGTGGTGGTTAAGTTGTAAAGAGAGTCGCATGTGTGATCGAGGGAGTGCCCCAGACCTTACGCTCCAATGTCCGAAGGCTCCGCTTCAACTGTGCCTCCGGCATAACTGCTGATAGTGTCTTTGAACTCCTGACCGAGCAGACTGTGGGCATCGTCTTCCTTGATGTACCTGCGCTTAGGGGTTCAGCGATGTACGGGCTTGGGCCTTACCTGTATTTATCCCCAAACCCTACAAATAGGAGGATATGACACGTTATATAAGGTATATCCCGCGAAACACCAGAAAAGGATTTTGCATCCCCAGGAAGGGCTCTATGGTTACCTTAAGAACCCCAAAACCCACTTTTTTGTAGGAACCCTAATATGGGATTTATAGGGACCCTACAAAGAGTAGGTTTTGGGTTCATCAGGAATTCTTTCAGTATACACCTCACTTATCGGATCCTGACCATGCAGCCGACTCTCCAAAGCGCCACAATCTAGGGTCTACAGGCTTAGTGTTTAGGGTCTATAGGTCCCTAAGCCCGAGTTATCCTTTAGAGCCCCTAATGGCTAGAATAGGGATTCTGGGTATGTTTTCGGTAATTTTTCTAGAACCATAGAGAGGGGAACACTAGTATATAAATTGATATGAATACGCACTCTGGCCCTCTGCTGTGGGCGACTTGCTTGAAGGCAAGCTTGAAGTGGCCCATGGATCTACCCCAAGGGTCCAAAGTTCAAAGGACCCACTAATGAGGTGCTTGGGTTAGGATAATCGTCATGTAGTCAGTCAAAAGTTTGGGAGAGTATATGCTTACTATGTACTTAAAGTTCAAAGGACCCACTACTGAAGTACGTGGGTTTATGATAACAGTTCTGTAGTCAGTCAAAAATTTGGGAGAATGTATGCTGCTTAAGTACTTGGACCCTTGGGGCTACATCTTCGAGGTTTCTCTGTGGACGCTGAATCATTCTGAGGTGGATGGAGGTGCACAGGAGTCAGAGGGAACACAACACATGAAAAGCGGGTGCAAACGGAATTATGCGTAACTTGCTCGTGGCTGGCTGAAACAATCCTACCCATGAAGTATGCACTACATTAAGAACCCAAAACCTACTTTTTTGTAGGGTCCCTATAAATCCCATATATTAGGGTTTATAATAAGAACCTACAAAAAAGTGGTTTTGGGTTCTTAAGGTATGTCTCATGAGTTGCAAAGACTTCAGAGTGAGCTGAAAACGCGACGCATGCCTAACACACCCGGCACCCCACCAGATCAATTTTAGGGTTTAGGGTTTAGGGTTTAGGGTCTAGGGTTTAGGGTTTAGGGTTTAGGGTTTAGGGTTTAGGGTCAAACCTGCAAAACTCGAGGATCCCGTAAACCGACACCGTTACCCTGAGGGTCCATGTACGGTTTAAGGTTTAGGGTTTAGGGTAACATGCATACTATATAGTTACACGGAGCTGTAGGGCTAACGCCCCTCCACCCAGACCTCCTCAAAACCGTGACTCTCATACTGCGAACCTTTTATCAAACCCCTGCAACTATCACCCTAAGCCCAGAATCCTATTCAAAAACTCTGCGAGGCACCCGTCGCCGTTCTCGTCGAAAGCTCGAAACACTTCTCGGATAGCCGCCGTTGTGATGTTCCGTCGCTGCGCCTGGCTTTGGGTTTTGGGTTCAGGGTATGAAGTAAGGCTTCGAGCAAAGGTCGGGGTGTAAAACCCTGAACGGTTGTATGGTCTGCCATATGTGGCCAGCTACTTCCCTATAAGGGGCAGACATATGTAGACGAGCACGGTAGCATGAATAGTAGTAATACTGAACATCGTGCTTAGAATTCACTTGAAGCAGCACTGACAGCAATAGCAACGTTCATACACGACAGCGCCCTCAATCGGATGAAAAGATAATGTTACCACTGCGCGAAATTTCATCAACATCATCATCATCATCATCATCATCATCAATATATATATATATACATATGTGTGCGTGTATATATATATATATACATACGAAGAGAGCGAGAGAGAGGGAGAGAGAGAGAGAGAGACAGATAGAGAGAGAGAGAGAGAAACAGAGGGAGAGAGAGAGAGAGACAGAGGCAGAGACAGAGACAGAGGGGGGGGAGGAAGAGTTTGCTTTTATTTCATCCTCAAAGGGTCACGCTTTGGTTAAGAGGAAGACCTCCCTAAACCCTAAATCTCCTCCTCAACCAGGGTTTAGGGGTGATAGGGTTTAGGGCTTACAGACGAAGCCCCTACGGCAATCCCTAAATCCTGGACTCCTAATCCCTGAACCCTAAACCCTAAACCCCTTAAGCCCTGAACCCTGGATCCTAAATCCTAAACCCCTAAACCCAAAACCCCTGAATCCTAAACCCCTAAACCCCAAACCCAGAATCCTAAACCCTAAACCCCTAAACCCAGAATCCTAAACCCCGAACTCCTAATCCCTAAACCCAGAATCCTAAACCCTAAACCCGTAACCCCTAAACCCATAAATCCTAAACCCCGAACTCCTAATCCCTAAACCCAGAATCCTAAACCCTAAACCCGTAACCCCTAAACCCATAAATCCTAAGCCCTAAACCCCTAAACCCTGAACCCCTAAACCCCTGAATCCTAGACCCTAAACCCCTTAACCCTAAACCCTAAACCCCTAAACCCCGGATTAGGGCCTTGGTAATGAGGATGAACTCCTTGTAGTTCACCTCTCGCGTCCATCGGTCGCAGTGCCTCGAGATGTCCTCGGCCTGGGCCTCCTCCTGACAGAGGGCGTCTTTGAGGGCTTTTTGGGGTTTAGGGGTTAGGGTTTAAGGGTTTAGGGTGTTTAGGGCTTTTAGGGTTTAGGGCTTTTAGGGTTTAGGGTTTAGGGGTTTAGCGAATTAGGATTAGGGGTTGAGGGGTTGAGGGTTTAGGGTTTACTGAGGGTTTTAGGGTTGGTGTTTTAGAAACCCAGGCAGCAACCTTATCAAAAAGGACACTTGAAGGGACCCCAATTTCGATAACCACCCATCCAGCCCCTAAACCCTAAACCCTCAACCCTAAACCCTACAACCCTAACGAAACATGTGGGCTCAGGCCGGAGGTAGGGGCTCCTCCACTGCATCAAGCTCCTACAAAGCGCGAAGCTCAAGCCCTGCCAACCGGAAATCCCTAAACCCTACACCCTAAACCTTACCTGAACCCCAGGAAACTTACGTTTTCGGGACTCCTAAATTCTGTTTGGGCCCTTGAACATGGTGGGCTTGTGTGGGCTACGGCTATAGGTAACAAGGCTCAACCCCACAACATTAACCCCTAAACCCTATAAACCCCAAACCCCTAAACCCTAAACCGTTTCAAAACCCTAAACCCCAAACCTAAAACCCTGAAGCCCTTATGCTGAACGAGAATCCTCGTCGGCAGGGAGGCTCACATCGGCGATGCGATCGAAAAACCTGGCATGGAATCTCCGTAAACCCAAATGCACCTTTTTTTACGACTTATACAGAAAACCATGGTAAGGAGCACTGAAAACTTGTTCAAGTTATTATTTTTTAAGACTTACATGTTACATCCCAGGTGAGGGGTATCCTGCAGATTCGTAGTTTACTCGTGGTATGGGCTTGGGAACAAATCTTGAACTCCTGGCAAGGTCGAAAATGTCGTTAGCCGAAATCCATCAAAACGCACAGCCTACGTATACCAAGAGTCTCCGTTGTAGTTCAAGTTTGGGCTAAACATATTTTATGCTTAGGACACTACAATTTGGAGCTGGCTAACCAGACGAAGAACTACAATGGAGACTATGGGTATACAATCTAAACGAATCATCCCAACTCGCTCACCTCTGGGTCGCGGTGGTGCGGCGGGGGTTCAGGGCTATGGTGAAGGTTCAACATTCGGGCTCCGAGTCCTTAGGATGCTAAGTCTTTTCATGGTAAGGGTTCTTTAAGGTTTTACGGTTTAGTTAGGCTTTAAGGTTTTAGGCCTCCTCTGGTGGCGCGTTGCTGCCTCCTAGCAGAAGCAGCCCTGCTCCGCAGCCACCACCACCTCCTGCCGCTCTTCAGCAGATTCGGAAGAGCTCTCCGAATCGCTGGCTGACGACTCCCAATGTAGCCAAGCCGGCGAACTCGAGCGGCTCAAACACCTTCTCCACCTCTGTCCCGCCAGCTAGCGCCTGGAGCTGGTCTGAGACCTCGGAGATCGCTCCTCCATGTCACTCTGCTGCTCCTGATCCTGAGCCTACTCTAAACCCTAAACCCCTAAACCCTAAATCCCTAAACCCCTAAACCCCTAAACCCCTAAACCCTAAATCCCTAAACCCCTAAACCCCTAAACCCCTAAACACCGCTAAACCCCTTAACCCTAAACACCCCTAAACCCCTAACACCCTAAACACCCCTAAACACCCCTAAACCCTAAACCCCTGCAGCTGGAGATTCGGAGTGACAGGCCAAAACGACCCTAAACCCTAAACCCTAAACCCTAAATCCTAAACCCTAAACCCTAAAACAGACCTCGGGCTCCTCGACATTCGGAGCTCAGCAATCGGCTGCTCGTCGACCGGGTGCCCGGGAAACCCCAAACCCTGACCTTTAGCCTGAAAGGACTCATGTTTGTTTAAGGCCTTTAAGGGCCCAAAGACCCTATTATATGGGGCTTTTGGGCTGTTTTGATGCTAAGGGCTATATAGATCCCTTGCAAAACCCTTCTAGCCCCTTACAAGAACCAGTAAAGCCTGAGGGAAAGTTTTCGGAACCATTGCAGATCCTTCAGAGACCTCGCCGAGCCCTTAGAGCCGCAGAGTAAACTCTACACCAGGCTCCCCAGTAGCCCCTTAGGGTTTAGGGTTTAGGGTTTAGGGTTTAGGGTTTAGGGTTTAGGGTTTAGGCCCCTTAATACCCTAACCCTCCAGGTACCTACTATGGAGGGTACTAGAGCAACTGGGGCGCTATATAGTAGGCACCTGGAGGGTTAGGGATAAGGATACCCTCTTTCCTACTATGCGGTTTTAATATATGGGAACCCACAAAGAAAAAGGGCGAAACGAGTTCTGCTGGGCAACCTGGTACACCCTAAAATCTTTAACCAACAAAGCCTAAGCCCGAAACGGACACCAGTGCAGCGACGACCTAAGGAGTCAACTCTGCCCAACAATGACAAGCCTTCTGTTTTTCGCAACTAAGGGTCTCCGGAGTGTAGCGTTTAGGGCTTTAGGCTTTTAGGCCTGAGGGTTGGGGGATTTAGGGCTTTAGGCCTTGTTTTTTCGTTGTAGGGCTTTAGGGTTTCAGGGTTTTCGGCTCTTATGTTTTTCGGGATCTTGGGCTCAGGGTTTACGGCACCAAAGCTCAAAAAGCCAAGGGTATGAAGTTCGGCGTAAACCCCTAAACCCTAAACCCTTAACCCTTAGCCCCTAAAGCCTGAACCCCTCAACTCCCCGAGCCCTAAATCACAAAGGGTCCAAAGTACCGATACAGTAGAAAGGGTTTAGGGTTTAGGGTTTAGGTTTCTGTATTAGATTGCTATTATGATTTAGTACTTCCCCCATAACAGGACATAGGACCCTTTGGAACCACCAAACCCCCCCAAATCCCTAAACCCCGAAACCCTATAAACCTTAAACCCTAAACCCTAAACACCGAAAACCGTAAACCCTAAACCCCGAAACCCCTAAACCCTAAACCCCGAAACCCCTAAACCCTATAAACGTTAAACCCTAAACCCCGAAACTTCGCGTTGAACGTGCCGGAGGCGACTCTGTCTCTTCGCTGCTGGAGATCTGCACTTGCAACGACTCCTTGAGAACCTGTTAGGGTTTAGGGTTTAGGGTGTCCCAGAGGGTCCGAGTACGGTACCCGAAGAGTAAGGATTTAAGTTGAGTCCCCAAATCCATACTCTGAATGGTTTCTGGAATTGCAACCCGATTGTTTGGGCACTTGGACCCTGTGGGGTCGAGTTCACGGCTTAGGGGTTTAGGGGTTGCAGGGGTTTTAGGGCGTCTTGGGGTTTATTGAGTTAGAGATTAGGATATAAGTAAAACGGGACGCATCTTATTCGGATTGAACGATGGCGTGAAGGCGATGCTTGCTAAGAAGGAAAGTGTTGGTTTCGACCAGTACATACTAGCACCACTCGTGCTACAACTTCTCCCCTTCCTCATACGACTGTTAATACGATACACCCCGCACGGCCCTGCGGACCAAAGAACCCTGAGGTCTGCGGAAGTCTATCACTTCTTGCAGGATTTCCAGTACTTCTTAGTAGTGGTGGTGCAGGCAGTAGTTCGGAATGCCACCTGCAAGAGGCCAAGCAGCAGCAGAAGCAGCAACAGCATGGTCAGAAGCCCCTGGCTCTGGCAGCTTAGCGTTTAGGGTTGAGGGTTTAGGGCCAGTCTCACTGCACAGCCTCATCAACAGCATAACCGCTTCGTCAACCTCATCGTGCTGATCCCCTTCCTCAGTTCTTCTGCATGCCCTAGCTCCTAAACCCTAAACCCTAAACCCAAATAAACTCTAACCCGGAATACCTCAGCCCCAAGTTCTTATGGATCCCGTAAAGAAAATTACAGGATCCCGTCAAGGAGTCCCAAAACCCAAAGCCCTTTGCTCAAAAGGGCCCCCGCTACAGGAACCATCAAAAAGGCACCTTGCAGCAGAAACCTCCCCCAAAAAAAGGTTCGTTCTAGGTATGAAGGTTTAAGGTTTTGATTTCTTACACTCCCTGAATTTTAATTGAGGGGCACCTTCAACCTTAAACCCTAAACCGCGATGTGGGTCCCTGAGAGGGAACCCTTAAAGGAACCCTCCCGAATGGGGACCTTTATGAAGGTCTCCGCTGAGATCTTCCCGCTGCTGTGCTCGTCGAAGCTGCGAAACCGCTGCTCCAGGAGGGTGATGTCCTCTTCACTTGGGTAGTTCTCTAAATTAGGGTCCCTTTTTCGGTCCCCCAATATAGTACGGCACTCTTATAAAAAGGATTCTAAAAGGGACCCTAATTTAGAGAACTACCCACTTGTACAATAGCTTGAAGGGGTTTCTCGGGCTGCTACAAGGGTTTTAAGGCTCTTAAGAAAATGGTTCAGGTTTAAGTTTAGCATGTCCTCTTCACCTAAGCACGGGGATTAAGATTCTTTAATTAAGATTCGACAAAGGACAAGGCTTCAGGGTTTAGGGCTT